TGCTCTGAGTGAGGGCTGCTGTGAGCAGGGGGTGGGGCTTGCTGCATGTGCCCGCCCCCTGGGCTCTTTACTGCCGGAGCTCCACTCCTGTGCGCTCCTGCAGGAAATGACCCCTGGCTATAACTAAAAACAATTCATGAAGATAGATTCAGGTGGGTAGTCTGTTAGTCTGAAGGAACAGGACAAAGTCTGAGTCCAGTGGCACCTTTAAAACCGACAAAGTTTAATTCTGGGTATACGCTTTCGTGTGCATGCACACCTCTTCAGATACTGGCACCTTTAAAGCCGACAAAGTGTAATTCTGGGTATAAGCTTTCGTATGCATGTATACTTCTTCAGATGCCGGCACCTTAAAACCGACAGAGTTTAATTCTGGGCATAAGCTGTCATGTGCACGTATCTGAAGAAGTGTGCGTGCACACAAAAGCTTATACCCAGAATTGAACTTGTTGGATTCAAACTTTGTTCTAAAACTAAAGTGAGTCACTGCTATGGGAAGGTGAGACGCATGTGTTTGGGGAACTGAGAGAAATGCCTGGCCATGGCATCTATCTCTTAGAGTTGTCATGGAGGGGTGGGTGATGTTGTAAGTAACTTCAAGTCCCCACTGGGGAGAAAAGGTTTCCCTTGCTCGAAAGCCAGTCGAATCCGACTCTAGGGTTGCGGTGCTCATCTCCGTTTCCAAGCCGAAGAGCCAGCGCTGTCCAAAGACATTTCCGTGGTCATGTGGCCAGCATGACTAGACGCCGAGGCGCACGGAACGCTGTCACCTTCCCACCGAAGCGGTACCTATTTATCTACTTGCAGTTTCTTGCTTTCGAACTGCTAGGTTGGCAGGAGCTGGGGCCCAGAGACAGGAGCTCACTCCGTCATGCAGCACTCCGGTGAAAAGCAGGGTGTAAATATCACAAGGATCAGGGTGTGGAGTTAAATCTGCTTGTTGTTCTGTCAAACTACCACTAGGTGGAAATATTATTTCACTTTTGAGCCAGTGGAAAGCAGAAGACACACAGCGGGGTGTGTGTGTGGGGGGAAGCGGGGCTTCTGCGTAAGTGTGTGCTCGATAGCTTTGTCCCTGTTCCTCAGCTAGTGGTCCACGAGCCACAGTAGGCCTGCCAGACGTCTGCCTTCCATTGATTCCTTTCTTTCGTGTTATTTGTATATTTGTTGTTTTATGGAATAACACTGTCAAAAAGTCAGACCCCGGCTGAAATCCAAATGGTTTGCAGGCAGGGGGAGCCCGGCCCTGTTTGCCGTATTCCCCCGCAGTCCTGCATGAACGGGCTACATGGCAGCCACCATGAGGAGCAGGGCAAGGGGTACCTTCTGGGGTAGACGGGCTGGTCTGCCTTGCAATGTAACTCTCCAGCAGGATTCAGAGTTTTTAGGAATAATTGCAACAGCTGAGATCTTCCTAAAGTGCAGTGATTTCAGGGCGGAATTTTGTTTTGATTGTTTGTAGAATAAGATTTTTTTAAAAATTATTGGCACTATCTGGTGGGCCAAGTGTTGGATTTGGACAAGGGAGGCACAGAGTTGATTCTCAGCTCCACTGAAGAGCCTTCAGATGGCCATTGGCGGGCCTTTTCTCCGCCCCAAAATGGAAAGAATCTCCGTCCCGTAGATCTTTATCTTGCCCTTCCTCCAGCAGTTCAGCTTGGCATATGTAGTCCTACTTTATCCTTACCACAACCTTGTGGGGGGTAGCTTAGGCAAAGAGCTCACGACTGATCCAAGGTCGTTCAGCAGACTTCATGGCAGAGTAGGGATTTGAACCTGGGGCTCCACAGCTATCTATTCTTAAAGAAATGTAGCTTCCCCCACTTAAAGCAACAACAACAACACTATACATGCTCTATAGGGAGACTGATTAAGAACATAAGAACATAAGAGATGCCAATGTTGGATCAGGCCAAAGGCCCATCCAGTCCAACACTCTGTATCACACAGTGGCCAGAAATACCAGTGCCATCAGGAGGTCCACCAGTGGGGCCAGGACATTAGAAGCCCTCCCACTGTTGACCCCCCGAAGCACCAAGATGACAGAGCATCACTTGCCCCAGAGTCCCTATCTATACCTTGTGGCTAATAGCCACTGATGGACCTCTGCTCCATATGCTTATCCAATTCCCTTTTGAAGCCGTCCATGCTTGTAGCTGCCACCACTTCCTGTGGCAGTGAATTCCAAGTGTTAATCACTCTTTGTGATTGTGATCATGCTTGGGTGTCCTGGCTTTTGGCTTTCACTCTTCTTTCTTTGACCACCATATTCTGTATTTCAGTGCTGCTTTGGTCCGTTTTCAGTGCAGCTCAGCTAGTTGTGTGTCCGTTCCTTTGTTTCAGTCAGTTCATTTATTATGATCCAAGCTGAAGTAGCACCAACGTAAGTGCACAGGCTACACACCCACACCGATATGAAAACAAGTGTGAGTCCAGTGGCACCTTGAAGACCAACAAAGTTTTACTCAGGGTATAAGCTTCCGTGTGCAGGCACGCTTCTTCAGATCTCCTGGCTACCCGCCAGAATATATCTGCGCAAATATAAAAATCAAAAGTTGTATTTTTAGACTGTTCTACGATTTTATGGATTCTTGTAGGAATCTGTCGTACACCGCCCTGAGCTGGCTTGTGGGGAGGGTGGCATAAAAGCCTAATATAATAAATAATTTAAATAAATAAATGACTTGACCTCCTTAAGCCCTAATTTTAATGACACAAGGTGATTAAAAAGGCTGAAGCATTTGCTTCCTTCTCGAACGAGCCAAAGCACAAGACCTGGCCACCTTGAGCGTGGTTTCATTAAGCCAATCTGCAAGGAGAATGAATATATAAAATTTATCAGATATGACTGGACACTTGGTTCTTCGTTTATTTGTTGCTTTCTCCCCAGTGCTGTGGTCTCTCAAGGCCACAGGAGGTGGTGGCAGCTACAAGCATGGACAGCTTCAAGAGGGAACTGGATAAACATATGGAGCAGAGGTCCATCAGTGGCTATTAGCCACAAGGTATAGATAGAAACTCACAGGCTGGGGCAGGTGATGCACTGTATTCTTGGTGCTTGGGGGGGGGCAACAGTGGGAGGGCTTCTAGTGCCCTGGCCCCACTGCTGGACCTCCTGATGGCCCCTGGTATTTTTGGCCACTGTGTGACAGAGTGTTGGACTGGATGGGCCACTGGCCTGAATCCAACTTTGGCTTCTCTTATGTTCTTATGTTCTTAAGGCCTCTAGCGTTTGCCAAGTGACCAAGGGAAAAAAAACTCCTGTCCCTTTAACTGGGGTTCAGTATGCAGAAATGGACAGCTGAACATGATGCTAAATAATACCACCTGAAAATGGGCTGCAGATCAAACCGCTTATCAAACTGATATTAAAGGGACAGCCAGAGGCACCAGTGTAAATGCCGGCCACCCCGCTGCGTAGCTTGCAGCGTTAGAGAAAAAGAATTCCAGCACAGCTGACAGAAACTAGCAGTCAGTTAAAAAAAAAATTTCAAAACTCAGCAATGGAAGATTTGCCGACGCGCCAGCCTTGAAATGACACCTGGCAGCGCAGGTGCCTTTGGGCAGAGGGAGAGTCTTAGCTAACCTCTCCAAAGCCTGGAGGGGCTGAGTCCTGTCAGCCTCTCCGGGAACGGAATTATGCCTCTGCAGGAGAGGTTGAGCTCCAGGTGGGTAACAGGCTAATAATCCCCAGTGCTCAAGTTTGTGCTGCCAACATAGAAGAAATGAGTCAGATATTATTTTAAAGCATATATACATAGACATGTAGTTGGATTTTTAAAAATGAACTCACAACTGTGTAGTTGCAGAAATCCAGATGTCTTGCAGTACAATCCTAAGAATGTCTTCCTGGGAGTTGTTTCAGGTGGGTAGCCGTCAGTGTTCCCTCTAAGCTGAGTTAGTGTGAGCTAGCTCAAAGTTTTTTAGCCTCCGGCTCACACATTTTTGCCTTAGCTCGGGAAGGAGGGCTCCAGGGAGCAAACTAATCGATGCAGCAGTCCAATTGTTCGCGCACGACTTTAATGCCAGTAGCTCACAAAGTAGAATTTTTGCTCGCAAGACTCCACAGCTTAGAAGGAGCATTGGTAGTGTGGTTTGCAGTAGCCGTGTTGGTCTGCAGTGGAGAAGTGTTGGGATTCTTTTTGAGTAAGTCAGCAGAGTATTAAGAGACGGAGTCCATGGTGTGTATTAAAATATAAAAGTTTACTATAAACCTAACATGGGGGAAAAGGTACACAGGATATAAAATAACAAAGAGCTATTATGCCTACATCCTTGCAGCTAAAAGGTAAAACGGGAAGAGCCGAATGGCGTCTCCTTCTCTAGTCAGAACGAAGAGACGGGAGGAGAAACCAATATGCTAAAATACTTGACACCTTGGTTTCCAATCAGACTAGCAAACTAGCTCCAAAGTTCCTGGGCATTCTGTTGTCTAAACAGATTGGTTACAAACAAACATGTGACTTAACAAACATCATTAACCCTGTAAATACTGAAGTTTTTCGACTTGTAACACGCAACAAGAAGCAAGATTTCCCCAGTGGCACCTTAAAGACCAATGAGATTTCCAGGGTATCATCTTTTGAGTCATTGCTCCCTTCACATCAGGTGGAAGGGGCTTTGGCTTTCAAGAGCTCATACCCTAGGGATCTTGTTGGTTTTTAAGGCACTACTGGAGTTGGATCTTGCTCTTTCCTGGGCGTAAATGCTATTGAACTGACCAGAGTAGGATTCTGTGCAGGTCTGCTTGGGACTGTGATTATCCTTGTGATTATTTTTCAGTTGATTAAAACGAATCGTGCAGTTTTGGGGGGGTTTCAGGTGGGCAAGCAGAAACACGTGGAGATGGTTTCAGTCGGACAAAGAAAAGGACACCAATTGCAAGACGGACTTAAATAGAAGCGTATTAGCAGGCCCAGCATCCTGGGCTTCTGTTTTCGGATGATGGTCACTGTTTGATGCGTCTCTCTTTCCTCTGACCCGCCCTGTCGTCTCTTCAGAACGAAGACATGGCCCGCCAGCTGGTGGAGCTGGGCTTCCGAGGAAGCGGAGAAGTGCTGAGGAGGGAAGACTTCTTAGCGAGGAAATTAGCGGCGGAGGTTTCCAGGCTCTCCGAAAGGCACCAGCAAAAGTAAGCTGACGTCTGTATGTGTGTGAGCTAATGAGCCATATAATGAGATTAGGAAAAAGGGGACTAAAAGCTGACTCGAAATGCAAACAGGGAGACCGTTTAAAATCAGAGTGTGAAAAGATGACAGAATAACGAGGAACCTTTAAAGCAATAAATTCAAATATGTGTCCTCCGTCTGGTGTTGCCGAGTGTTCCAAAAGCGTGCGCCGTAGCAGAACTATTGGGTGGCATGGGGAAATGAAATAAATAGCGTGAAACTTTGTGGGAGTTCAAAGAACCCGTCCTCAAAGGAGGCGTCCTGTTGTTTATATGTATGAGTTGCTGCTCTGGGCTTTCTTCCTCCAAGTTAGTATCTGCTGGAGGTGAGTATTTCTACTGTGTTGAATTTGATTGGATTATCCATTTGCAGAGGGGCAGCGCAATTACCCAGTCATAGCAGGCTGCCTGTTGTGTCTACCGTCAGTTGGTGATTCGGGCTTGCCTCCCAGATCAGTGACTCACGCAGAGACACAAGTATGCCTCACACTCCCCCACCCATATTAAAATTGGTCTTGTCTCTCAGAAGTGTTTGGAAAACTGGTTGAGGTGTTTCTGGGATTTTGCTTGTGCCGGTCTTAAAATAAGAGTGGCTTTTGTTGAAATAGACCCACTAAAACGAAAGGAACACGGTGAGAACGTCTGCTTTTGCTGACTCTCTCCCCAGAACTTCTGTCTGTATCTCCTTAAACCAGCTATGGGATCACCCCATGGTCTATCACCGACGGTGCGAACGTCAGCAGTAATGGCCAAACGGCATGAAGGACAGAGGTTCCTCTATTGTCAATAGTCATGTCCAAGGAAGAATGCCACCTTTGCTCACCTTTTGTTTATCATTTTTCTAATTTATCCTTCCATTTGTATACCGCTCACCCCCTGAGGGCTCTGAACAGTTCACATATTTAATCAGTACAAATCCTAACCTAGGGCCACATACGG